GCGCCATCTTCGTGTTCCTCGTGTTCTGTTTAGATCTGCTGTTTCCATGGTGACCAGCTATGACAACAGCCACTTGGGGGGAGGTGTGGGGGGGGGTTTGGTTGAGAACTGACACATGCACCCGGCAACTGTAACCGTTATAGCAATCGTCATGTGTGTAGCATACACCACGCGTGTAAATGAAAACCATGGTCACGGCTGAGGATATAATAACATTTATAGGACATTATTAACCCAAGCTTCCTTTTGAGAAACAGTTAGGCCCCATTCACACACGCGTTTGGGGTTAGGGAGGGTAAAGATGGCGGCTCCAGTGAGTGGAGTTTAGTTCTGTTTCAAGGCCCCTTGGGGAAGACTGGATGACTATGGCGGCTCCTCGTTTTAAGGGCCTGTTCACACGACGTCCGTTTTCGGTGCTGACCTGATCCGTACGCTCCTGCACTTAAAATGCATCCCAATGTATCCCTATGTGTTTCATGGGCTACAGTTCTCACGTGCGCAGTCCGTTCAGGTTACGACAGAAAAAATACTGCATGTCACATTTTGTACGGTCAGGAAACGGTCCGGAAACGCAAAACGCGTCAAAAACGTGTCAAAAACGCACTGCACTGCAGCAAACATACTGACAGCCCCACTCCAGCAAAAAAAAAAATCTAATTTTTTTAACTGGAACGCGGCCAAAACACGGCAAAAAAACGCACTGCATCAGTAGCACCGCGTCTGCAGATCCGCATCTGATCAGGACCTGATATTATCTGAACAGGCCCTAAGGCCTGGTTCACACCTGGGCGTTTTACAGCGCGTTCCTACGCTCTGTAAAACACTCAACATGTGAAAACCAATGATTGCCCATGTGCGCCATCTTCGTGTTCCTCGTGTTCTGTTTAGATCTGCTGTTTCCATGGTGACCAGCTATGACAACAGCCACTTGGGGGGAGGTGTGGGGGGGGGTTTGGTTGAGAACTGACACATGCACCCGGCAACTGTAACCGTTATAGCAATCGTCATGTGTGTAGCATACACCACGCGTGTAAATGAAAACCATGGTCACGGCTGAGGATATAATAACATTTATAGGACATTATTAACCCAAGCTTCCTTTTGAGAAACAGTTAGGCCCCATTCACACACGCGTTTGGGGTTAGGGAGGGTAAAGATGGCGGCTCCAGTGAGTGGAGTTTAGTTCTGTTTCAAGGCCCCTTGGGGAAGACTGGATGACTATGGCGGCTCCTCGTTTTAAGGGCCTGTTCACACGACGTCCGTTTTCGGTGCTGACCTGATCCGTACGCTCCTGCACTTAAAATGCATCCCAATGTATCCCTATGTGTTTCATGGGCTACAGTTCTCACGTGCGCAGTCCGTTCAGGTTACGACAGAAAAAATACTGCATGTCACATTTTGTACGGTCAGGAAACGGTCCGGAAACGCAAAACGCGTCAAAAACGTGTCAAAAACGCACTGCACTGCAGCAAACATACTGACAGCCCCACTCCAGCAAAAAAAAAAATCTAATTTTTTTAACTGGAACGCGGCCAAAACACGGCAAAAAAACGCACTGCATCAGTAGCACCGCGTCTGCAGATCCGCATCTGATCAGGACCTGATATTATCTGAACAGGCCCTAAGGCCTGGTTCACACCTGGGCGTTTTACAGCGCGTTCCTACGCTCTGTAAAACACTCAACATGTGAAAACCAATGATTGCCCATGGACATGGTTCCCGCCTGGGCGTTTTACAGCGCGTATGAACGCTCTGCAAAACGCCCTACGCCCAAAGAAGTACAGGAGCTTCTTTGGGGCGTATTTGCCGCATGTATCCATTGGGATACAGCCAGGTAGCCCTCGGAATCGCGGTAAAAACGTGCGACAAACGCGATATTCGATACGCCTAGGTGTGAACCCAGCCTAAGTTTCACATTCATTTTGGGGTTAGGGAAGACCAGGTGAGGGGAGTTTAGTTCCACTTTAAGGCCCCAGTCACACATACATTTTGGGGTTGGGGAAGACCAGGTGAAGATGGCGGTGCCGCAGAGAGGAGGGGAGTTTAGTCCTGTTTCAAGGCCCCATTCACACATGCATTGTGGGGTTAGGGAAGACCAGGTGAAGATGGCGGTGTTGGTGAGGGGAGTTTAGTTCCACTTTAAGGCCCCATTCACACATGCATTTTGCAAAGACCAGGTGAAGATGGTTGCTCCAGTGAGGGGAGAGGAATTTAATTCCACTTCAAGGCCCCATTCACACATACATTTTGGGGAAGACCGGGTGAAGATGGCGGCTCCCGTGAGGGGGAGAGGAATTTAGTTCTGCTTTAAGGCCCCATTTACACATGAATTTTAGGGTTAGGGAACACCGTTGAGGGGAGGGGAGTTTAGTTTCACTTTAGGGCCCAATTCACACATGCATTTTGGGGTTGGAGAAGACTGGTGGAAGATGGCGGCACCAGTGAAGGAAGTTTATTTCCGCTTTAAGGACCCATTCACACATGTGTTTTGGGGTTGGGGAAGACTTAGGGAAAATGGCGGTGAGGGGAGAGGAGTTTACTTCCCCTTTAAGGCCTCATTCACAGTTGCCATTAGGGATATCAAAGGTTCCTGGCGGCCGCAACGACGGGTGTTTGAGAATAGCTTCGACAATGACAGGCTGGCGGCAGCTGTTCGAGTGTAATCGGGTTTCCACCAGCTGTGGTTAGGGACTGATGATAGCCCCGGGATACAGACAGGAACAGTCATCAGTCCCTAACCGCAGCTAATCACTGGATGTGCGAACAGCCCCAGACCATCAGCCTGCTACGGTGGCCGCAGCTATTCACAAACTCCTGCCATTTTGAATCCTTTGATTCTTGCGGCCAGAATTCGCCATACAGTGTGAACTGGGCCTCAAAATGGCGGGTTTAGTTCCAACTTATGGGCTCGTTTACACCAGCAACTCTACTTTACATAGTGCACATTCATATTAGTCCCCGCCCCCAGGGATGAAAGTGCTGACCACTGAGCCACCGGTGCTACCCACTGAGACTTCCTCTGACCCAAAGCAGCAGATGACCAGAGGAGATAGGAGCAGGTAGTATTAGGCCTCATTCGCACAGGGCGTGTTGCCCGTGTTGAAGGGCTGGTAGTTGATGCGCCCGGAGCTGCGGAAAGAAGCATGCGGGCAGCTTATGAACGTCTATGGAGATGCAGGAGCTTCCAGCAGCTCTGAGTTTTGATAGCTGCACACAGACGGCGTACGGCAGGGGTGGGCAACTCCGGCCTTCCAGCTGCTGTGGAACTACAACTCCCATGAGGCATTGCAAGACTGACCATTATAGGCATGACTCCCAAAGGCACACATGTTATAATCCCCATTTTAGGCCTGAAAATTACTTAAAACACCCAAACATGATATATTTTCAGAAAGCCAAGACCCCATAGAATAAAATGGCCGCAGTTGCAGATATTTATGTTGCACAATATTAGCGCAACTTATTATCAAACCCCAACATTTTGTGTAAAATGCACTTAAGTAAAATTTAGTACCCCAAAACACTATATAAAACCCTTTTTTTGGTAAAATATAAAAAATGACATTACGACGAGTAAATAGACACCCAACATGCCCAGGTTAAAAATTGCGTGCCCCCGTGAAACGGCGGCAAAATTCAGTACCCCGAAAAGTCCATAGATGGCGCTTTAAAAGCTCCTACAGGTCATCAGTTTAGAGATACGGAGATACGAAGAATACTGTCCCTAGAATTATTGCTCTGACTCTGGCGTGCGTGGCTATACCCAACATGTGTAGCGCGATCATCGTTTTTGTACGTAGGCGCACCTGAAGCATGTTTACGTAAAGAAGTGCGGCCTCGTGGGGGAAGGGGACTTTCAAAAATGTTTTTACAACTTTTTTACATTTATTTTATAAAACTTTTTTTCTACTTTCCTTTAATTGCAATCACATAGGGAGGCTTACAAGCATATTGGTGGTGACAGGTCCTCTTTAAGGTGATGCTGGGGGTCCAAAAGACCCCCAGTGTCACCTTTACACTCTAAATAAGCTATAAATAAGCTTCAGGAGCCGAGCACTGACAGCTCAGGGACCGGAACTGATGCAATACTCGTCGCTCCCGGTCCCATAGAGCGGGGAGGAGATCGGTG